AAATTGAAAAAAATGGTGCTAAAATTTTTAGAATCAATGCTATTAAATTCTCGTTTAGTAAAATTACTGGATAATTTATTTTTATCTTATTACTTATTTTGCTATTACTTATTTTAATATACTGGGTGATGTAAAAATCTGGACAAAAAATCTTGTAAATTTGGTCAAAATTCTTCATAATTAAGCAGCTTCCCGTTAAATAACATTTCCAATCCCATAAACCTAACTTTTTACAATTCTCTCAACTCCTAAAGTACCACGTTGCCCTAATTCGCAATATCCTTTTGCTCAGATTTTTAGATATGACGTAACCCCGATTCTTTCGAATCCCATTCTTTCTTTTGAAACTCCTTTATAATATTACAATTTATATTATTTTTTAATCGCTCTTTATTGCCTTAATATTTCGCAACTGTAAGGTTATAAAAATTGCAAAATTATTTTAATGAAGAAGTAACAGAAAGAAATCGAAGATGATAAAGACGGAATAATTAAATAGATTTAGCATGTGTAGAAGCAGAACGATGTCGTTCGAACATTCTTCTTCACAGTTCTCACCATTACTGCTTAGGCTAGCTTTAACGGTTACAAGGGTAAGACTCTTCCAAGCGGCGAAGCCTGATGCCATCGTCGACAGGAATAGAAGCCATTCCTTTTTCCATCGTCTAAGCCCATATACTGCTGGTCCACCTATACGTTCAAACTCTTTGCTGAGGTTCTATTCTCCTCAGGAATAAATCTGTCCAAGAATCCGGGTATGCTGGCGATTCATCTGTACTTCTATCGCCAAGGGATTCCCTGGCATATTTGTCCAATGTGACAAGCCAGCGGAGCAAGCTTCCAAGATGAAGAGAAGGATAAGGATTTTGAGGTGATAAAATTTCTCTTTGCTTAATGATAATAATGATAATGAAAAAAATAATATAATGATATAGTAATATAATAAATGCTATTATAAGCCAATGAAATTATGGGAATCTGCCACAACGCTTCATATCTCCCAGAGCTTTCTTGCCTTTTTGTAAAAACTCCATACTTTTCAAGCTGTAATCTTTCATTTCAATCCACCAACCCGTAATAATTCCTACAAAACGTGATGAATATTATAAATGATAAATGCCGGCTCGTAGTAGTAAAATCCCTTATTTCTTATAACCAGCTATATTTTATGGAAAATTTTCCATTGCCCCGTCATATATAAACCATTCCATTTTTCTCCCCCAGTAGGATGGCTCCTTTCACTACTTTACGGGCTAAATTGTTTGCGAGAAAAAAGAAAGCTCAACGTATTCCCTGGAATCAAACAAACCGAAATTCTTTTCATCCGTTTGCTTAATTGTCATAATTATTGACACAATTATTATTCTAATATTATTATCAGCGAATATAATAAGTGAGAATATCAGTGAATATGATAAGTGAGATTTTTAAATTTATAAAAATTTAAAATTAATTTTAAAGAGAATATTGCATACAATAATTACAATTATCGATATGATTAAAAAGAGATTTATGATAAAAAAACTTTGTTTTTTTCTTAATGCTTAAAGATTAACGCCTTATGGAAATTCATCGACCTTTAAAGATGTGATAAAATATTCAAAAAAAAAGAAAACAACAATAACCTTTTGCAATAATAAAATTAATTCATTAGTTGAAAAAAATTCTGTACATTCGTCGCATTCCAGTTTGTTATCATTCATTGAATCTTTTTTTTAAAATATGTTTTAAAGGGATTTTTAATTAATTTTAAAAATAGCTTAAAAAAAGAAGGAAATTTGAAAAGTAATTTCAAAAAATATAAAATCAATTAAAAATAAAAAAATTAAATTTAATACCAAAAATAATTTATTTTAAAATAATTTATTTATAAATAATAATAAAATATTTTCGAAAAAAACAAATTAGTAAATTAATTAAATAATAAAAACAAAAAATAAATAAATGAGAAAAATAAAAACAAACTTATCGAATTGATATATTCAATTGTAAATTTCAGAAGTGATAATTTATCAAGTTTATTCTTTATCGGTAAAATCGAAGAAAGTTGTAACATTAATATATTCATACGATTACGACGTCGTTTTTCAATTTGAGAATGATTTTGACTGCTTTTCACCGATAATTTTCTACGTATTTTTAGATTTTTATCATTAGTGTTATCACTAAAATTTTATATTTTTTAATATATTTATATTTTATATTTATTTTATATCTTTTAATTTTTAGTAATGCAAAAAATTCAAAAATTTTTGTTGAAAACAATAAAATTTCATCATAACTTAAAAATATTATTTAGTGATAATTATGTTTTATTTTATTAAAATATTAAATAAATTCTTTGAAAAAATTTATCTTTCTTTTTCTCGTTATTTTTTTAAAATGAATTTTCTAAAATGTAAAATGGATTTGAAAATTAAAAATTATAAGGAAAATTATCGAAATAAATAGTTATATTCCATACATTGAAAATGAATTTGTTTTATTCAAAATTTTGACGAAAATTTCTTTAACAAATAAAAAAATTTTTTAAAATTTTTTATATTCAAAATTATAAAAAGTATAAATGGAACAAACATTTTATTATTGAAATTTTCCATATAAAAATTCTTTCGAATAGATCGATAGAAAAATTTTTTAAAATAATTTAGTGAAAACGACGATGGAAATAATATAAAATGACCTTGAAAAGAAAGCAAAATCATTTTATACATATTTTATATAAATAGTTATTGAAAATTCCGCGAAAATTTTGAAAACTACATAAATAAATAGTAATTTAAAAATCGAAAAAAATATTACAAAATATTTAAATCGAAAATAAATAAATATTATAAAAATAGCGAAATAAATAAATAAAGAAAAATTTAAAATCAGTAAAAATGATTTGAAAAGGAAAAGAAAAAGATAGACATTGTTAAGAAAATCTCGAAATACCGGTTATTGCTATTTTTATCGTTAATTTCACTGTTAAGTCAAATATTTAATATGAATTGTTAAATATGGAATGGAATGGCTTAGTGGATTGTATAAATTAGGAGCGCCGAAGCTAAGATTCTACTCATTGCACGAGTAAAACTATCCAAAAATCCAGGTGATGCTAGGAATGCTTACCTATACTTCTATCGCCAAGAGATTCACTGGCACATATTTATATAAATCATATGTGACAAGCAAGCCGAGCAAGTCTAACCATTAATGGTACTTGAAAAATTGCTAAGTAGAGATAGAATGATTCGGAGTGCCACTAGTGTGGATTTCACTTTCAAGAATGGATTTAAAAATACAAATAGTGCTGGTAATTAATATATTTTCTAATAAGCCAGAGGAATGAATCTAATAGTGAGCACTTTTGGAAAAAAAAAAATTTATTCAGTATAACGAGGAATTTTTGCAAAAATATTTTCCTCATAAAAAAAAAATCACTATTTATTTTATATATTATTTTGTATCATATTTATTCTATTTCATAACATACCATTTACATACAAAAAATCTCTCTTTTCATTCCCCTATGGATTGTAGGGGTTTCTCTCAATCACATATCAGAGGCCAAGAGGCCCAGGAATTTGAAGGTTCTACGTATTGTCTTAGCTATTTTGAGCAGTGCGCTTTTCTGGATAAATGTCTGGTATTGCGCCTGGAATTTGTTGGAGCCACTTCTCTAGCAGCGCCCCTATCACTAGTAGGGGCTGTGCACCATTTTCCACTTCTTTCCTAATTCTTCTTTTAGGCTCCCCTTACATTTCTTTAGATTCTCAAATTATTTCCTTCTATCATTTGGTACTATATTCTTTCTAGTACGGTTTTGTATCGCTACAGTTCTTACCAACTCGTACGATATCAATCATTCATTTTCAGTAACATGAAAAAAAAACTGTCAATGCCATGTTGAGAATTACTGTATTAGTCCAATACAACAACCATATTAACCAATTGCAATCATCGGATTGATAGGAATTAAGACCGCGAAAATTTCGAAGAGTTCAGATATCCGTCGCACTCGCACTGTTATAAACTCAAACAATTAAGGGGTTCAAACCATCTTTCCGTTTCAATTTCAGACAGTCCCGATCTTCGATAGCGAGAAAGAAATGGTAAAGGTTAGGCGTTGGTGCGACTAGAATTTGTAATCATAGATCCGAATGACTTATCTCTATTTAGCCATAAATTTTCAATAATTTTTCACGTTCCTACAATTCGTTTTCACGTTTTTCGTGGTCAACATTCTTACGATTCTGATCCTATTTTTTGCGGATGACAGCAAGTAGTTCCAATAGGCTATAATGGTTATTGCAGAATTCTACTGGTAAATTGTTAGTCTCCTCTACTGTTAGCCTTTTTCATTCAAATATAGTAAGAGTTTCTGTAAGTTGTCCATCACAATTCTCGCTCCTTTCTTTATATTCAATCAAGCATCAGTAATTTAAGGCTTTAATCGCCCAAAGCCAAATTTAAGAACACCTATGGTGATAAACAAATTTCTTCTTCAGATTAAATGTTAGACAATAAATTACAAGAAAAATCTCAGCCAAAGTAAAGTAGAAAATATAAATGGTTATTCCTTTACAATTCACAAAAAAATTTATTCATTTATAATAATATTTAAAAATTCGAGTCGATGTTTGGCGACTCATTTTTATCTCTAATTCTCAGGCGATTCTGAGAGGTGAGGCGGTTTGTATCGCCAACATAATCAGTGAAAACAGAAGAGGAAAAATAGATGAAAATCTATTACAAAAATAAAAAATAATAAAAATAAGAGAAATATGAAAAGAAAATTCTTTCATTGAATACTGATTAGGCGTTATTTCACAATTTTCAATAAATTCGGATTTAATATATCCCATAAGCGATTCATGTTTTTCTTCAAAAACAATGCCTAAAAATAATAATTAACAATAAAATAAACAAAATACAAAATAAAATAAATATAAATCATAGTTAGAGCAAACATAATAATAAATAAATATTATATTATAATATTATAATAACAAATATTATATGAATTTAAAATGATATATAAAAAAATTCACATTTTCTTTTTGAGCATCACATGCAGCTATTTCTGTAATTGTAAAAAAATTCATCGCAAGTGGTTCGTTTGGATCGCCACAATATTGTTTGAAAATTTGCAAAGATTCACTAACCTGGCCCCCGTATAACATACATATAGCGCTATTATTCCAGATCTAAATCGCTTATGTGCTTATATTCATGATTTCTTTTCAAATAAAGGGGTGAAATTAAAGTAAGTCATAGAAAAATCTTATTAATGAATAATGTAAAATGATAAGTTATGCGTATCGAATTTTGTAACTTTAAAAATTATTAATATGAATGATAATTAATGGATAACCTTGGGATTGTCTCTGACTGATATTAAAATTTTTTGCAAAATATTTTGTGCTTGACTGTAATTGCCAAAAAAGACAGATTTTAATGATCTATAAATTATTTTATTCATAATAAAATATTTTAATATAACAGTACAAAATGGTGCAAACCAAAAAAAAGGATTTAAAAACAATTTTTTTGGCTTTTAGAAAACTAATAAACTAAAAAGAAATGAGAAGAAAATCAAAAATGAAACGAAAAACTCACTGATGTATTAGCAAATCGGTTCTTCCACCAGCCGATGAAACCTCTTTTAGGAATTTTTCCATACTTTTCTCGTCACCCATAAATACTGCCATTCGAAGTAGCATCAATTTTAAAATGAAACGTTGTTCTTCATCAGTTTCTTGATTAGAAATTTGATTAAATAAGTGCATGGAAGCACTGTATTCCTGTTTAATGCGAATATAAATTTAGAATAGCTACGAGATAACGAAGGTGCCTTCATTCGAACGCTGATGCTAAAGTTCTAGACCCAGCGAAAATAAATCTATTTTTCAAAAAATACTGGAGATGCTGTCGACCTACACCTATATTTCTGTCGCTAACTGATTCTTTGATAAAATTTACCTCTTTTAAGAAATCTGACCAGAAATGTTGAATCTTTAAAAAAAAGATATGTGATTTTATTTTGCTTTATTTCATCGCAATGACTAGGTGAATTTTTTTTTTTAATGAGTAAATTCTTAAAACTTCTTTTATTTAAGTTTTATGAATTAGTATTTAATAATGATAAAAATGATAAGGAGAAATAGGGTGAAACTGTATGAAAATTGCACCTTCATGAAAAATAATACTCTTGAACGTATTTTCTGAACTGCCAGCAAGCGTTTATTCCACAGGTCAATATAAGTTTTATCGATATTCATTGCGCTTAGATCATTGATAACCTATACAAATAATAATAACATAATTTGCTATATTAATTTAAAAGAGTAGAAATAATAAATTTTCTTGACAAAACCTTTAGCGTATTGGACTCTAAAGCTCCAATGCGACTGATAGCTTCCCATGGGTGCGATGTGAACCTCAAAGACTCTGCATGAACCATGCGTAAAATAAAAGGTACAAGACTTCCTACAATTATTAATTATAACCAAATAAAAATGAAAATCAGATTGAAAATAAAATTCGTGGCATCATTAAAAAAATATTTTATGAAATTTCATGCGAAATATTTTATAAAAGAAACCTTTCATGTCACCTCTATAAATTTTTGGATAGTACTGAAAATATAAATCAGGAGCATCCAAATTTTCAAAAGCTGCCAACTCATCATTTAATAAGGAATACATTCCTAAAACCATTAGCAACTGAAAACGACAAGCCCACACCTGAAAAATTAAGATTTTTTGTGAAAATTCGAGGATAAGATTTTAAGATAAAATAATGATAACGTGATGAGATAAGAAATTAGAGAAACATTGGAATCGTAAAGGAATCAAGTGTCAAAATATCAAATTGTCAATTGAAATATCTTTGATGAAATTCTGAAAAATTTTTACCATTATAGAAAATTTAAATTAGAAAATTTATCTTTAGCGTAAAATTCTCAACTCACTCTTTCTCCATTTTAGACAATAAAAACAAACATAATACCATACTTGAAGACCATAAAATGTAATAGTTGATGGTTTTCCAGCAACGCCAAAACCTTGACCAATATCAGAAAGTATATTCGCAGTAACATTGAGCGCAGCTCTTAGATGGCCATCAGCCTAAAGTTAAATCTTTAGATATTCTTAATTTTTACCAGAAAAAAATTTTTTTGACAAGAAAAAATAAAATGAAAGTGAGAAAGATATTTACAATGAGATGCTTCACACCATCCATAGTATTTTCGACTGATGGGGACGACCGCAAAATGTGTTGCAGTTGTGGCGCAACAGTTGGATCATCTGATTTCGGATTAATCCTCAAAAAATAAAAAAATAACTAGTCAAATTTCTTTCAAAAACCTCGCAAAACTGAATAATATAATTTAATTTAATAAGTTTCCCCAAATTAAATTTAAAAATTTAAAGCTTTTTTAACCAGAATAATATCTCCACGAATGGCCTGGCATATTCACGGACGAATAAGTACCTAAGAACCTCTAAGTATAGAAAATTAAAATTATAAGGAATAGGAATTTGTAAAAAAAAGAATTTTAACAACATAAAAATATTAAATCAAGTTATTATTATATATATTAAATTATATATAATAACCTAATTTTACTAATATTATTAATATTAATATTAAGTCAAATAAAATAAGCCTACATTAATCCTGGCATAGTATAAGAAATATTTAAACGAGGACTATCACTATCGAATACTTTACGGAGGCGTTCAGATTCCGGCCAATACTGTGATAATATATCGATATCACTTATCTCCGACATATCTTAAAATATGCATCAATTAATCTCCAGGTTTCAATTCATCGCTTACTTTATCTTACCTTACTTTTCTATATAAATAATATTATAAATATATTTTGCAAAATCGCTATAAGCAGCAAATTCGAATATCCATCCGCGAGCAAAAAAATATACATCTGAAGAAATACTTCAAACTAATAAAGCACAATTAGAAAGCCCATGAAAAGTAATAGCAAAGGAAAAAGACTATAAACCTTTTAAAGCATTATTTTTTTGTATTTTTACTTCGTCCAATCGAAGAAATTTTTATTTATCTATCAAGTTTAAAAATAAAATTTTCAATGAAAATTCAAACTGACAAACTGATAAAAAAAAAATCTCGTTAAAGACATAATTAAATTCGTGGGAATCGTTCAGAACATATTAGTATAAACTGAATATGATAAGAATTCCATCACTTAATACAAAAATTGCCAAGCTAAGCAAAATCAAAAATGATAAAGCAACAAAAATGATTATATAAAAGATTATAAATATCAGCTGAGATAATAATATCAAAATTTACAAAATAAAAGAAAAATATGAGGAAAACTTAACTGTCTGGCAAAAAAATAGAAATAAAAGGTAAGATAAGAGAATAAATATTAATTTATCATTCAAATATCATTGAGAGAATATCAGTTAATAGCGTTAACTCAATCAGGAACAAAAATGCAAATGTAATAACATTAACGATTGCCTATTTTTAACCTTAATTTTGATCAAAAGCCAAACGATGAGATCACGATATTCTCATTCATTGATATATTTATTGATATAACCGTCCACGACGACTGATAAATTTACCACGCCTTCCCCTAAAACCTCTGCCAACTGATAAACCACTTTTGAAATTTCCTGAAATGGTAGATTCTTTTGAAAACAATTGCTTAATAACTGTCACTGAATGTCACTGAATTTAAGCCAAAGGATAAAAATTACAATAAATTTTGAAAGTATGAGTCAGGAAATTCACAATGTGGAAATCAATTCCGAAAAACATGAAAAGATTGGGAGATTTGTTTAAAAAACTGGTTATTTCCAACTAGATTGTTGTAAAGAAAATATAGTAGTAGAAATGCTACCTTTACTACTGAATTTCCCTCCAGGTGGAACATAAAATTCTGGGTCAAGCCTATCTTTCTTCTCTGGGTGTATTTTCCTCTCTGTACCATTGGCTGATGACGATAAAATCCTTTTCCTTCTGAAAACATTTTCATATTTTGCAAAGGAATGGATAATTGAATAATAAAATCCCGAAAATAAATTAATTATAAATCACTTTTTTTCGAAAATATAACACCGTTTTCTTCAAATTTTGATCATAAATTTTTCGCCATGCGAAAAAATGTGAAAACGTCCCTAATGAATATCCAAAAAATTAACATTATGATAATAATAGCTGAAATATTAGTTAAAATAATAATTCAAACAATTAAGCCAAGGTTTTAACGCATGGAAATATAAAAAATTTTTTTAATTAAAATTAGAAACTGCAAGAAATGAAAATTGAAAAAGCAGCCTTTTTGCAAAAATAATAAGTATGAGCTAGCAACTATAGCGTAATTATAAGTTGTCCATTATTTCAAGGACAAGCAATATAAGATTTGATTTCTGTCGCACAACAAAAGACAAAATTTGCTATTTGTTGCTGCTATGAAAATCCGCATGGTTGCTGAAGACTTTCCTAAATCTATGTCCTCAAGTACCTCTTTAGTGAGAAATTTTCACCCTAAAAATTAATAGAGAATTAGCAAAAAACGAATAAACACTAACTGTTGCAAATTCGAAGAAATTAGAATTGTTGTTTTCCAACTTTTTGATGGCATAGAAGAAAAGGATGGATTTTTATGTAAAAATTCTTTTACTAATTTCAAAATGTTCGTAGCCACGCTAAGTGTATTTTCCAAAAAATTTAAATGATTCTTGTCAGATTTGTCTGAATCTCGTTGCAGATTTATTTCACTATTTGTTACTGTGATATATTGCTGAAGAAGACGAGCCAAATAAACCACTCTGCAAAAGAATAAATTAAATTAACATAAAATTAAAAAATAAAAAGAAAAAAAATTAATGCACCTTTTTCGCCAAAGTATATTCTCATCAGTTTGCTGCTGCAATGCATCAAAAACGGAGCGATTAGCCTTAAAAAGAACAAATAAGATGATGGTTACAGCCTCCAATTCACTTAGTTTAAGCTGAGGAACTTCAGCTCCATCATTACGACAGTCATCGCTAGTTTCTTCTTTTTCCGACGGCATTAATGGAATCAGACCCTGTAAAATCGAAATTTAAAAAAAAAATTTTAAAAAAATATATCTGAAAAATCTGAACAAAAAATATTCTAATTATGGCATGAATTTATATAATTTATTTATTCATATTATATATCAATAAAAAGCAAAAGTATTCTTTTTTTTTTGAAAAATAACCATTAAAATTATTAAATTACAAATTAAACATTTATAATGTGAAGTTATTCATTAAAAAAGAAAAAAAAAACTAACCAAGAAATAGTTTAAAATAATTTTGATACGAGACTCGTCTAGAGTTTTAGCATATGATACCATATCAGCTAAGGCTCGAAGAAAGCGATGTCGTAATGCAGCGCTGGTTTCATCTAAACGAGGAATACCTTTCGAAACGAGAAAATCAACCAGACCCGTACTTCGACAATTTTGCTTAATAAAAGATTCCATATTAAATATAATAAATATTACATAATATTTAGCTAAAATTTAATGCAAAACAATTTAATAAATGGTATTAATTAAAATTAAAAGTTAAAATTTGAATTTTTATCATAATACATAGATGAAAAGATAAAAAGAAATATTTACCGAAAGAAGCGTTTGGGCCTTTTCTACGAAATATAAAATTTGATCAAATCTCTGTATATCATCAACCTATAAAAATAAATTTTGATAATAATATATTTAAAATTCTCAATTTTCCACTAAATCAACATTGATTTTATCCTAGTATGGAATATAATTTTTCTTTTTCAAAATCCATTTAAAAACTGTAATAAAATTTTTTGCAATTAATAAAAAATTAAAATAGTTGTAAATAAATAATCATTTATATTTTATAAAAAAATCCTATATAAAATTTTTGCAATAATTAATTAATTAATTAATATATTCAACAGATTAAAATAGAAATCAAATAAAATATAAAATTTAAAAAAAAAAAAAGCAATCGCAAAATGATTTATGAGTTAAAGAAATTCGTATATATATATAATTCGTATATTTATATATTTGACAAAAATGAAGCTGAAGTTAGAAATTCACCAAATTTACATCAAATATCTTTATTCCGATCTTTTATTTTAACTATCGAAATAAACGCTTCTTAAAATTTCACCATTATGCTTTTTTCGCTAATGGCTAAAAAGTTCAAATTTTTCTCTCGTTTATTGTCTTTCTAAATATCATATATAAATTTTTTTGAAAAATATGAAAATATGAATTGTCTTGGCTGGTTTCTAAATAAATCTTAACATTTCTACAATCGTTTTCTACTAAATTCTCTTTTTCAAATCGATTCGCTAAAATCAATTTTCATATAAATACTTTTCATTTTATTAGAGAGATTTATAAAGAAATTAAAAAATAAAAAGAATAAAATATATATGCTCACAGGAAAAGGTTGATCCAATCCAATCTGATCGATAACTATTTTAAATAATGTTATACGTCCTTTTACACTTTTATATGTTTCCAACGAGCGAAGTACATCAAAAATTAAATCGAATTCTAAGGCCGTCACATCTTTCAAAATCTATAAAATTCAAAAATTATATACAGTGGAAAAAATTTCAAAATTTATCAACTTATAGAAATATCTATTGAAAAAATCATAAATTCATTCATAAAATTAGCAACAAATAAACAATTAAAACTACCTTTCTGAAATAATTTTCCACTTCATCTTTCAACTCACTATTCATTAATGATGTTGGAATAGTCGGTAAATATTCATTGATAAATTTTAAAAGTCGAATACGAATCGATTCCTCATCAGACTTGATTATATTTAAAAATATTGCAGATAAAACTTCTAAAAAATTGCGATATAACGAAATACACTGGAATATCTCAAAAAGATTTACCATACAATACTTAAAATGTTAAAAAATATAAAAAAAATATTTTATTAAAATAAAGATGAAAAGCCATGAAAGCAAATTGAACACTAATATATTTTCTTAAAACAACAGTGAATATTCGCGTAAAAGTGAATAAGAAAAATTCATCACCTTTCGGATGACATTTAAGACATTCCGCTAAAGCATTCGTAAGGAGAGTTATTTCTTGCGATTCATCAGTTTGTTGAAGCATTTGTGATAAAACATCTGCGATTTTATCAACAAGTTGACCAGCTTTCACTAAATGTGACATTTCACGAATCACAACTTTTCTTATCTAAAAAATATACCTAATAATGTATTAGAAAAATAAAATAAAATTATCTAAAAAAATATAAAAATTAATCTTTCCATTAGCGAATATTTCAAATCAAATTTTTAAGACCTAAAATTTTATAATTTTTACAAAACATAATTTCGAAAAAAAAGATGATGTCAAATGAAGAAATATTGATATATAAAAAAATACTTGTGGATCACGATCTTCTAATATCGAAATTAATGCATAAAATGCAGAATTGCGCTGTTCAGGAAAATTTTTCCAATAACGAACAATCATTTGGGCACTCAATTTCTTCACTTTAGCATCTTGACATTTCGTTCCCGAAATAAATAATGAATAATCCTCGGGATTCTGAAACTGAACAAAATTATTAAAATTAAATTATTATATTATTATTAAATTAAATTATTAAATTATTAAAAATTATTAAAATGATTTTTTTTATTTTTTTAATTTTTAGTTAATTTAATAAATTAATTTTTATTAAAAATTAATTTTAAATCCATAAAAATTATATACATTTAAATATAAAAAATAATGGTAAAAGAAAAGGAAATAAACAACTTTTTTTTTTGTTAAATTGATTCTTTATTCTTTTTTTGGATCAATTTTCCGTTCGATTATAAACATTACAAAACATTGTAAAATGATTGAATGAAAAAAATGGTACCAACTTGATTACTTTTATTATTGTCAAGCCTTTCACAAGCGTCATAAATCTTATCGATTGTTATTAAATCCATGTTGTAATTTATCGATTTATCCTAAAAGTATTTATTTATTTATAAAAATTTATCCATAATAATAAAAACAAAATTTCAGTAGCAACCATAATATGGTAATATGGGATAAAGAGAAAGTGGTACCAGCCTGGCTTTCGAAAAAATCCAAAATAAAATTTCGTAATTCTAATTCCACTTAATAATTTGCGTTCTCGTTATTCATATATTGGCTTGATAAAGCACTCATCTACTATTTATTGAATTCATTAAGAAAATACCACTGATGGGGTTTCGCTCCCCTCCTAGCAAAATTGGGCTTCTTTTTCACGAAACTGGATGGTACCACTCTACTCGCGTACTCATATCGCTAAGTGATTCTTCTGCCAAAGTTTATCCAATCTCATAAGCTGGTGAGTGAAAACATAATTAGAAATGCCAAGCGCCTTTATAAAAACAAAAAATAAAATGATGAACTTCCGTTGCAGTTAAATTTAGCTTATAAAAATAAAACAAACAATATTTCCACCGCGAAAATTTAACACAACTAAAACAAACTAAAATTAAAATGAACATAAATAGATCTAAATTAGCCCTAAACGGACCCGAACTGACCAAAATGGGCCTAAATTAGCCCTAAACGGACCCGAACTGACCAAAATGGGCCTAAATTAGCCCTAAATGGCCAAAACCTGAATTTGACTGAAAGTGATTAAGTAAGTAAAATTAGAAGTACCAAAATGAGAATTTTTTATGTTTTAAACAATGAATATAAAAAAAAATACCACTAAATTTTCTTTCTATTTCAATTATTTCAAAAATAATTAAACAATTTCTCAATTCAAAATTTTTTCATTATTCTTCTTAGATTTTCAATTTTTACAATAATTATTAATTATTAATAACAATAACACTGATAATAATAATAACAATAATAAATAAATAATAAATAAATAAATAGTAAATAAATAAATAATAATAATTACAATAATTACAATAGCAACAATTACAATTATAATAATATTACTGGAATAGGATGGCTCAGTGGTTTGTTGCTCAATTCGAAGCACCGATACTGAGGTTCTATTCCCCACAGGAATAAACGCGTCCAAAAATCCGGGTTATGCTAGCGACCCATGTGTATTTCTATCGCCAAGGGACCCTCTGGCAAACGCCGAATGCGACAAGCCAGCGAAGCGAAGTTTAACGAATAATGGTGAGGATTCTAAAAAAAAGAAAAAAATTTACGAGAAAAGAAAGCCAATTTCAAAAAAGTATTCCCAAAAATTTCTTATAGGCCGAAGCCGCATTATAGTATTCAATAATAAAACAAAATTATAGATTTGAAAGACAATTATATAAAGTGAATAATTATATTTATTTTTTTATAAACCATTCAAATGTTTGTAGAAAATATTTAATATTTTTATTTTATTTTTTATATTTTTATAAATATTTAATATTTTCATTTTAATAATATTTAATATTCAAATGTTTATAGAAAAATATTTTTTTTTTTATTATAGAAAATATTTAATTAAAATTGAATAAATTAAAAATTTAGAATAAAAACAAAATAAATAAATTACAAACGAAATATTTTTGAAAAAATTTAAAATTTTTTAAAAATAAATTTTTATAAAAAATTTAAGTTTAATTAAATTTTAAATAAGTTAATTAAATTTTAAAAAATTTACGAATTTTTTTATTAAAAATGAAATTATTTTTTATTGAAAAATCCATAAATTTTTTGCAATTCAATATTTATTAATTTTCTTTTATAAAAAAAAATTTTAGAAAATAATTTTTAAGAAAAATCAGTGCTAAAACTTTACTGTGTTTCTGGAAAAAACTTCTGGAAAAACTTCTGTTTCTGGAAAACAGTGTCCGTTAGCGTCGTTTATTCCATAAATTCAGTTATTTCTCTTCTATAATGCCCCTCTTCCAAGCCCCATTCCCCCCTTCCCTATTTTCTGCAAGGCCATTTCCCCCTAACATGTTTATGGTGTCCTTTTCAAAAAAACCTATCTAGCTTTTCGAATCTTTCAAATTTAACGCCTTATTTCGCTAAAAAATAAATTTGCAATAAATTTCACAAAGAATGAATCAGAAAAAGATTTCGGAATTTGCGAATTTCCTCGGATTCCTTCGAATTTGTTCGATTTTTATCAGCGATCTTCTAAGCCCCATGAAATTCCCCTAATGATCCGGCAGAGTCGCTGTTCATCAATAGCATTGTGCCTGTTCATGAGCTAATATAGGACACCATTGATAAGCTCCTTGATAAGCTCTTCAGAACTTTCAATTACTTCAATCTCCGCAAAATCTCTTCAATTTTCTCTCTGAAGCAGATAACGATAAAATTTCCTTAGATTCTCTTATGCAATTTTTATTCCATATGATTTTTATTCCACATTATAATATGTTAACCTCGCATGGTAACTTAAGCCACTTTGGTACCATTTTATTATTACACTACACTCCTTATAGGCTCGTCGCAGTGCATGAGAAATCTCGATTAGCCATATTTGGTTTTTTGGTATATTCCAAAACCTATGTTTCCCGAAGAACTTTCCCAACCTTTAAATAAAAAATGATTGATTCCAATGATTCGTTGTACTTTATAAGATTTAATTTTATTAAATTTTTTTATATTTATATTTAAAATATATTTAATAAATATTTAATATTTAATAAATTTAAAATTTAATTCAAATTTAATTCATCTTGTCATCAATGCAATTGTTTTTACGCTTATTCTATTTTAATTCAAATTTAAAATTATAAAATTATTATATAAATTCATTATTTATAAAAATAAAAAAAAAATTATATGTAAATAAAATACTTAAATAAAAAATTAATAAAAATTAATAAAAATAATTAATTAATAAAATTAATAAAAATTAATAAAAAATAAAAAATTAAAAATGAATCATTCAAATAAATAATAATAAATTATGAGAAATATTTAATAATTTTACAATTGTTATTGCTTAAAATATTATTATTGTTGTAATTATAATTACTTATTATTATAATAATATTATTATTCATTATTAAACAATGCAATAAAATTATTTATTCTGTAGTAGTTATTATTAATAACTGTGCAATTTATGATATCAATAATAATAACAATAATAAATGATAGCTATAATTATTGAAATTTTTATCAATGTTTTTATCAATTTTTTTGTCGATTCATTAATATTAGAAAATAATAACTATTATTGCTACAATTAACAAAATCCTTATCAATATTTTGGTTCATTTGATTCTTTAATAGTAATAAATTTGTAGTATAGTAAATTTTTAAAAAATTTATGATATGTTTTGATAAATTTCTTTATAAATTTTTCAATAAATTTTATAAAAAAATTCTATAAAACCATTTATTTTTATTTTATTTTTTAAAAAATAAAAAATTATAATTTTTCTAATGGCATCGATCAATGAGTAAATAAAAAGTTTCAAGCTCAACTTTTTTTCTGATTAAATTTCAACTGCACTGGTGAATTATTTGGTGATTGAAATATTACTGAGTCCTCAACATAATCCATCGAAATGATGGAGTTTATTCTTATCAGAGAGGCACAATTCGAATCGTCACTATCGAGATGATAATCTCATTAATAACCATTCAGCTATCCTGACTCCCAATCAATAATACTATTATCATTATTATTAAAAATATTAATAAATAAAATTATATAAAATATTAATAAATATTAATAATAGTATTGTAAAAAATTATTTAAACATATTTATTATAATTTTTATAATCCTTCGAATAATTCTTTCTTTTTTCTCTTTCTTTCTTTCCTTTTTTTTTTTGTATAAAAAATCGTATTAGAAGAAAAAAAATGAAAAATTTCGGTTTTTTTTTTCGAAATATTATTTAACCAAAACGTTTTGTCGTAGTTTTGTAGTTTTTTTTCGCCCATAAAAATGATTAATTTGCCTTTCTTATCGGTTTTTTTTTTTTACGTAAAAAATAGAGATATTTTTCTATTTTCTGACATATCGATGACTATTTTTATTTTTTCTTTTTTTTTTTTCCTATATTACCACATCGAATAGTTCGAACTGTTCGACCAATTAATCAAATACGACCCGTTCTCATCGAAATATACTTAATGCAAAAATAAAATTTCTCCACTAATACAATGCAAATAAATAATCCATCATAAAATAATAATTTTTAATGTGCGATAATTTCAGCGATTAACTCTCTTCACTCGGTTATCCTACCTCCATTTTTTTTTTTTTTTTTTTTTATAGGTTTAATCATAGATAATGCTGCATAATGATAATTTAGTATTTTAATTTAGCTGTTTAAGAAAAACTATTTTATTTCAAAAACTATATTCATTATTAAAAAATATTAAATTAAAAATATTAAAAATAACTTTATTGTTATTATTTATATTACTATTAATATTATTATTATATCGTTATTAATATTATTATTATTATTATACTATATTAAAAATTATTAATATCATTAATATTATTATTATCATTCATTACTAATATTATTATTAATATTATTGCTAATATTATTATTATTATTAATACCATTTTTATTAATATTATTATATTATCGTTTTCTAATTTATAACTTATAAAAATTTTACCTGTTATCTTCACCTTGTTTTTTAGCTTTATGAAAATCTTATTTTTTATTTTATAATAATAATAATGATAATAATAATGATTAAATTTCTAAATTTATTAATTGACTTCTGATTTTGCTGATCATTATTACAGTTCAAATAAAGATTATTTCCAGAATTGAGAAATTTCTTACGCAGATGTTTTTTCTTTAAATCTATGCCTTTTAGGATTCAGAGTTCAAATTTACTTTATAAAATTTATATGAGATTAATCCCAGAAATAAGAATAAAATATTATTATTAAAAATTATTGAAATATTCAAAAATTTTTATAGATCTTTGAATGATTTAATTATAATAATAGATTACAAAAGATTTCAATCCACAAAATTTGGAACATTTAAAAATTCTTTCAGGTGAGTTATTCTTAAATTTACTTTCTTAGGTCTATAATAATATAGTAATTTAAAGTCTCCAGGAATAAAACCTAATCCTAAGCCTATGATTCCCCGGCATATTTATCTAGTACGAGCCAGTGGAACGAGTCTAGCCAGCAAACTTAATTTAAGAAAAGTTTGAGAAATTTTGAAATTCTTGTAAAATTAGCGATGACTTATAAGATTTTTATTCACTTGGTAATATGGTTAATCGTGGATTATCGTGGCTTTTTTTTTTAAAAGTCCTCACCATTACTGATTAAAATCGCTACACTGGCTTGTCACATTGGGCAATATGCCAGGGAATATCCTTTGGCGATAGAAATAAAGGGTGAGTCGCCAGCATCACTCGAATTTTTGGACAGGTTTACTCCTGCGAGGAGTCGAACCTCAATATTAGCGCTCCGAATTTAGCAACAACCCACTGAACCATTCTGTGTTCTACAAAAATTAAGATTTAAAACTTATATATTTAGAACAAAAAAATTATAAATTATAAATTATAATAAAAATTTGACAAAATATTTAAATATTTTAAAAAGAAAAGCTTAAGTATCTTCCTACAATATCTTGTTAGGCTGCTTCCAATGGTTGTAGATTGGTTACAGATGGTTAAAGAAGGCCATTCTGCTTGTATAAATATTTATGAATAATATAATATAAATAATAACAATAATAAAATTGTCTTAATAAATATTTATAAATATTAATAATAACAATAAAAATAATATTGAATAAAATAGTTTTGTAATAAAATAATTCCACGAATTATTTATATAATCAATAATCATATAAATTTCATATAAATTTATGAAAAAATAATTTATAAATGAATGAATTTTTATTATTTATTTCAATATTTTCTCTAAAAAAAAATTATTATTTATTGATATATGCTAAAAGGCATATTGAGTCGCCCCACTATATTAAGCAATTTCTATATTTTTCATCTTTCAGTGCTATACGGATGCGAAACCTGGTTATTGATGCTGAAAGAAGATTAGCTTGTAAAGAACCGAAAGAGCAATGGAACCTTTAAAGATATCGTAGAAGGCTGTGATCAACTGGGTAAATATCACCAAAAATAAATACACAGATCATCACAGATATTGGAGTGATATCTGAGGGAAATTCAATTAGAACAAGGTTGGTATTAATTAAGTTCCAATGATTTTATGATGAAGAATGTTGACAAAAAAAAACTGGTGTCGTAAAATCAGCAATCGAAATTCCTGGAGAAATATTATTGATCGCTGTTGAACGTACAGTTGAGCAAATTAATTTTTGTAATTTTAATAAATTTTATGGAATATTTTCTGGAATAATAATTATTTTTTCATTTTTTTTTTAGAATATTTAATTGCAAATATTTAATATTTATAATATTTAATTACAAAAATAATTACGAATTAATGGATAAATTATTTTTATTTTTAAAATCAAAAAAATCAATAATTGTGATTTTATTCTTTACAAAAATAAAATTTTCTTTTAAAAATTCTAGTAAAATTGGCTATTCGCTCGCATTTCAATTGTCAAATTTGTTTATTAGCCGAATTTTCCTTATCTTATAAGTCAGCGAAACGAGTGTAAAAACATAAAAATTTAACAATTGAATGATATTGGCTTAAACTTTTTTTATAAAATATTTATTTCTACCATTTTTTTTTTTTAAATTGCATTCCTTTGTTTATCATATTTTAGCTATTTTTTCTTTTATTTAATTACTTTTTGTTTAATTTTTTTTTTGCTAGGAGAGTTGTGATTATTTGTGATTAATCTTATTCGGCTGATTTCGTCGAATCAGACGAATTTTTGCTAAGTACTTAGTACTTAGCGATAAAAGTACAAGTGAATCGCGAGAATTTTCAGTTAAAAATTTGAAAAAAATAGACTTACTTGTGTGAGAATTGAACCCGAGCATCAACGCTCCGAAATGTGAAATAGCTCATTAAGCCATTTCTACCTACTTGGATCAGATATTATATTTTTTGAAAAAACAACCGAAAATAGTTTAATATTTATGATAATCGGTATTCTTACATATTTTTACACTAAAATTCAATTCTGTTCGTATGTTCGTACGTCATTGAGTAAATTCTATTGCTATTTTATTTGAGGGGGCAAACGAGATGAATTCTCTTCCTGTGAATCGGTGAAATGTTTTGGGGTATATAAGAGATAATTACTGAAGACCTAAGAGTATTTCTAACGATTTTAGCGATTCTCTCCCTCCTAAAACGATTTTTCGAATTTTAGGATAAATCAATGAAGCTAGCTAGCCGAACTAGAAAATTTGTTTGTGCTACTAAGAAGAAAATATCTATTTTTATGCATAAATAAGTTATCAAAAATCGCCTAATTTACCCTATTGATAATAACTATTCACATTTCAATAGATTATTTATCTTTTCGTTATCGATCTTATCAAAAATATATTTCTTGATTATCATAAATTTTCTATTTTTGATTAGCATTCATTCATTATTTATTTCTTATAAGTTTAAATTATTTTTAAAACTGCTAAAATTTCAAAGCTAAAACGATTTACGTGAATTATTCGAAATATGAATGATTTTATTCAGCCTTTACTAATATTACATATTTATGAAATATTATTGTATTTATTGAAAATTTGAAAAAAAAAAAGATGCAATAAATAAATCGTTTTAAACCACTCATATCAATTTATTATTTAAACGATTCAGTCAGTATTAATCAATTTTTTTTTTCGAAAAAATATGGAATGCATTAAGAAAGAAAACTTTCAAAATTTTTCTTTTTTTTTTCATTTATTTTCTTAACAAATAATTTTATTTCTTTTAGTTTTTTTTATTTATTTATTTACAATCTTAGTGATTTGATAGTTATCAATGATATTTGTAATATTGATAAAGATTTTAGTGATATTTTTAGAGATTTTAGTGGTAAATGATAAGGAGTTTAATGATATCAGTGAAATTGATAAGGATATTGATGATTGGATAGGAGAATATGTTCCCTATTGAAATGCTAATATTACATTCCTAATATTACATTTCTTTTAAAAAGAAAGTTATCTTATTGGTTCTATTTAAAGAAAGAATTATGTTTGCTATTATATAATAAAAAATTTATTCATAATAAATTTATATTTATTGAAAATTTATATAATTCATTAATGATGAATGGTTAAATGAATTATAAAATGTCTTTTACATTTATTTTTTTTTATTTGAAAAATAAAATAAATTTATTAATTTTTAAAAATTAAAATGTTATTATTTTCGATTCACAATTTTTTTTTTAAATTTGAAATAAATGATTGAAAAAATTCTGTATTTTTTCATTATTTCTTCATTTTTATTAATTCATTAAAATATTTTTATTTGAATTTTATTTTTAATTATTTAATTAATTATCTATTTAATTATTTTATTTTAATTACTATTTTATTTTCAAAAATAATAAAATCACGACTTAAAATGAATAGAATTCGATTGCTTCACTCCAATAAACTTGTCATTAAAAATGAAATATCAGTGATAACTGTGATTCCACTTTTATCTTTTTTTTCGAAATTTTAATGATTTTTATAAAATTATCGCAATTTAGTAATCATTGCAATCAGCTAATGAAGAACAAATTAGAAATGTGGTTTGATGATGACGAAGAAGAAATTTTTTAGAAATTAAATTTTGAAATTTAAAAAAAAATTTATCGTAATTTTCGTTAATTTTTCTTAATTTTTATATATTACTTTGTTGTTTAATATTTTCATTTATTTATTTATATTCGTGAATAATAATAAATTATATCTCAGAAAGATATAAAAGAAAATTGTCGATTTATATTGGACCAATGAATTTGATCGAATTTATATTGGCTTTTAAAAATTTATAAAATTAAGGTGGTGAATTGGTAATTCGGATGAAACAAACGAATTGAAAATTGATGGATAGCGGATAAACGGATATGTGGACGAACGGATGGTGAACAAATGGACGTATGGATAGACGGATGGTGGACAAGCGGACATTTGGATGGACGGATTGGTGGACAAACGGACGTGTGGATGGACGGATGGACGGATGAAGATATCACAAAACAAAAGAAAAGAAGTTCCTTTGTTTTGTTCGGCACAAAATTTACAGCCGTTCGTCCTTGGCATTTAGTATACTTTCCTTTCCTATAAAATCCTCTTTATAATCCTCTTTTCTTCTTCTTTTATTAATTCTTTAATCTAATTCAATTATAATATTTATTTATTTATTATTAAGAATTTTAAAATCCTCTTTTATTATTAAGAATTTTAAAAATAATTTTGGTAAAATCTTTTTTATTATTTTTAATGATTTGAATTTTAATGAAATTTCGCAAAAAAAAAAAAAATTCGAATGTGAAATTGAACTGGAAAATGAGATTTAGTAATAAAAGTTTTTATAGAAAAAAATCAAAATTATTTTAAAAAATCCTAAAAATAGGAGAACCATTTTTGGTTTGATTGACGATTAGGTTAAGAGCCATAAAATTATAAAATGTTATAGTGGATTTCGTTTCTAATTTTAGGCTTTAGACTAATTAATCGAATTCTGTACTAATACTGATTGATTATTTAAGATCATATAAAATAGCCAAATAACGATCTTTTATCCTCAAAACAACTTAAAACAACTAATAAATCATGTTTTGTGATTTAATTATTTTATTTGCCAATTTTAATTATTTAAAAAAGAAGAAAACATAAGTTTTGTGGAAAAAAGATAAACAATTAATAGAAATTAATAAATTATATTTCATATTTTAAATATAATTTATTATTAAAAATTTAATTAAATGTTTATAAATGTTTTGAAAACAATTGCGAATTGAGAAATGCAACTGAAAAAGTTAAATATTAAACTTTATTAGAAGAGTATGATGAGTTGTGGTGGTGATAGTGCGATGATAGCATTAGTAGTGATAGTGATCGGCGCGGTGATAGTGGTGATGTTGGTGTTGATTGGCTGTGGTAGTGATGGTGTTAGTGATGGTGATAGTGGTTATTGGTGATGGTGTTTATAGAAGATTTATTTATTATCTTGTGCATTTCGACCGACCAGCTGCGCTTCTTGATTTCGCCTATCTATCATTATTTTAAGAAAGTTCTCTTCTTGCTGATTATTTCATCTTTTGTTTAATATTTTGCATGTATTAATCAAACATTTATTTTTCCTAATATTTTTAAAAATTATATAATAATAATAATAAAACACCAGTAATAATAAAAATAATAATATTAATAATAATAAATATAATAATAATAAAATAATATTAATAATAAAATGATAATAGGAATGATATTGATAATAATAATGATAATAACAAATATTGGACAATTGTTAAATTTTCTGGCAGAGAATTATTACTTAGGGATGAATAAATAGACGTTAATCACCAATTTATCATCTCAAATATTTATTCATTTTATAAATAAAGAAATAAATAATAAATGGTTGGTGATGATAGGAATGATTTGTGGAATAAGTGGAATAGAAAATCCATTCATTCATTCTCTATTTCCCATCTATTTCCCATCCATTTATTCCCTACTCAATTAATCCAACCCCCTTGTCCCCTCCCTCGCCACCCCCTCCTCCTCAATTTACCCTTCCTTGCTTTCTCCTCTACTTTTCTTTTTTTTTTTCCCATTATTCTCTCAATTTCATTTGTCGTTATTGAATCTGTCTTTTGGCCTTGAAACGGTAAAAGAGAGCGGAAGAAAGATAAGAACAGCGGTAAGGAGAAAACAGCATAAACCGGATCGCCCGTAAAATGTGCCGATAAATATTCATTATAACTGAAAGGCAATCGGTTCATTTTCCACATACACATGCATATACACACATACTTAACAAATATGCCATATCAGTCCAATTTTTGTAATTCTTTTTATTGTATTTTTTATATTTCTTTCAAAAAAAATTTATTTTTTTTTATTAAACTTTTTTATTATAAGTTTTACTTCATTAATTACGATTTATCACTTTATCATTTCAGTCTTTTTTTCACGTAGTTATTTACATAGATATGAAAATTGCTTTAGTTTATCATTATCAACATAAATCGTCATCGTCGCATTTATCATTAATAATTTGATTTTTTCCATTGATTAGTAATTTGAGAATTGTTTGAGGATAAAATTTTGTATAGGTCATTATCATCACTCGTAATCACTATAATTATTTTCACATATAATCTGTATTATTTTTATAATGAACTATTAAAGTATGGATTAATTTATTGTTTATTGCCATTTTCCTAATTAATAAATAGTTTGTAAAGATTTTAGTGACCTTCGGATGGTTTGTGCGAAACTCTATTTCTTTATATGAATTTCTGAGAAAATATCTTATCATTCTTAATGATTATTATTATAGTTAATGATAAAATTAATAATCACTTATCAAATTTTCATTTTTATATTCAAATTTTATCAAATTTTTTTCTAAATTTATTTCTCAAATATTTTTAATTTTTAATTTTTTAATACCAATAAAAAAACCAATATTATTAATAATAATAATAACAAATATATTAAAAATATAATTAATAATAATAAGTAATAAAATATTAATTTTCTTAATTTTTTTCTTTATTCTAATTTTAAAGTGTAAATTTATATTTTATAAATATTTAGTGAGAAACAAATATATATTAAACGTTTATTGGTTTATCGAATTCGCCTACCTATTGTCAACCAATTAATAGAAGTAAACTTGTCGGTTAAAATTACGGTTCAGATTGCTAATCAAGACATTCGTCTATAATGTTTGTCTCTAAATGACTTTTTAATAAAATGTAGCATTGATTAATCAAAATTGATTAGTGATAAGAAATGATAAATGCAAAAGGGAAAAAAATGAGCTAAGAATTCATATCATTGGTGAAAAATTTGGATTAATTTAATGAATTGAATGGTTTATGGAAAATGATTAGTTATTTTTATTTATCAAGCAATACTACTAATGATAATGGTTATGATAATTATGACAATAATTAGCAACTCAATTTTGTGTTTACATTAACTTAATAATTTTGTTATCAGTTTTCAGTTATTTTTACTAAATTAAATATTTTTATCGGAGAGCGATTTGAGCTATAGAAATAGAAGAAAGTCGTGAATTGCTGATATATTTTCGAGCTTTTAATGATAGGCAAATTTAAGGCAAAAAAGCGACGAAAGAACTTTCTTTGCTTCTCAACACGATAATTTCATTTCATTCACTCGGCTATCCTTTCCTCCATCTTTCATCATTCGCAATCACATTTTGTCAATTAGGCAAAAAAAAAAAAAAAAAATTAAAACCTGTAAATATCGTTAAATATATGAAATCTGATAAAATTAATTATAAGAAAAGGCAACCGGATATATTTATTGTTGATGAAAAAAGAAGCGAAATAATGATGATTGTTATATGGCGGCAAAGAGATACAACTAACATGCATCGACATGCATATCATATTGCCTGCACTACACGCACATGTGCATGCCTTTAGGCAATTTTGGAAACTCGATTTCTTCCACTTTTAAAATTATTGATTTAATTATCTTTTAAATTTTCTTGAATTTTTCATCAAATTCATTCTCTGTTTCCTAGTGAATTTCTTACAATTAATGCTTTCTTTATAATTTCTATAATTTCTTATTCACTTATTTAAAAAATAATTCGTTTGTTTTTATGAAAATAATATTAATAATTATTTTTATTTTAATAATAATTTTTTTTACAATATTAATAATAATTCTTATTTTTTTGTAGTAAAAAGTTTTTTAAAATTAAAATTCATAAATTACTTTATTTTTTAATTATAATTATTATTGATAATTATTTATTATTATTATCATTATTTCCGATTATTATTTATCATAATATAATTGTTATTAATGTTATTGCAATTATTATCAATATCATCTTTATGTAATTTACATTTTCACTGATAAAGAAGAATGGAACGAAGACGAACTGTCGTCGTCTTAATGACGAAAAAAAATTCTGCTATCATCAGTGGGCAAATTTTTAATACGATAGAAGTTTCGAAACATTTCGTCGGTTTGTTGATCTCCTACGTTTGATTTGGCTTTTTCGTTGGCCTTTTCATCATTTTTGGTTAATTTATCAGCTAATTTGTTGGTCATTTATGATTGGCAAATTGGTCGGTCGGTTTATTTATTGATCGTTTCATGATTGATTTGTTGGCCAATTTATTGGTGATCACTTATGGTCGTCTTTAATGTTCAATTTCTTGCTCGCTTTTGATAATAGTTTATTGGCCATTTTATTGGCCAATTTGTTGGTCACATTGGGTTTGGGTTTGTTGTTAGCTTTGATTTCATTATTCGATCAGTAATGATAACAATAATCAATATAAGTGAAAAGAATGGAAATATTTTCGTTAAGTGTTTTATTAGTTGAAAAAAAAAAGAAAAAAAAAGGTATCGAACAATGAACGTCAACGTCTGATAATTCAATTCAGATCAATGTGATTCAATGAATTTTTTTTCTAAAAAATATTTTTAAAAAAAAAATTTTTTAAAACTAAAAATTTGAGAACTTAGAAATGCATATTTAAAAAAAAAACGCTTTAAACGCTTTAAATTTATTTATAATTTAAATTTATAATTTATAATTTAAAATTAAATTTTAAATTAAATTTAAAATTAATATTTTTTGCTAATTTTAAAATTAAATTAATTTAAAATTAATAATTTAAAATTAATTAAATTAAAATTAATTAATTTATAATTTAACTTTTTATTAAATTTAAATTGATTTTGATAAATTTTTGTTTATTTATTTATTTAATTATCATTTGGTGCAATTTTTGTTTTTGTTTTTTAAATAGAAATGTAAATAAAGAAAAAATATTTTATTTTACTATTATTTATTATATTATTACATATTTATTACATTATTATTTATTAATAATAATATTAATAACAATAATAAGTAAATAATAATGTAATAAATATTTATAATAATATAATTTCACATAATATTATTATTTCACTTTAGTTTTCCTATAAAATTTTGCTAATTAATATTTTTTGCTAATTTATTTTAACAGTTGATTTCTTTCATTTATTTAATAATTTTTTTTATTTGATTTCTAAACGAATATTTTCTATAAATTGTTGCGGATGACTGCTTAGCGACCTACCTATTCTATAGTTCTTTCTATAAATAAATTTATTATGAAATAAAGAATTTCATAATTAGTGCGGTCAAATAAATAAACCGAATAAATTAGAAATGGTGATTGTAGGTGAAAGAAGGTGGAGAAATTTTCTTCCTTCCTCCTAAGCCGCTAAACATTTTATTATAAAATTTTCGAAAAATAACTAATTATTATTAATAATTATGATAAATATAAATAAATAATAAAAAAAATAATTTTATTAATTTGCTGAAATAAGGAATTTTTTTAAAAAATAATAATAAATACGATTTTGCGAATTTCCTCGGTTTTAATTAAAAATTTTGGGTTTTTTTTTGTATTTTTAATAAAGTAATTAAAATAATTTTTATATTTTTTTTTGTATTTGTATATTTTTTATTTAGCATTTGTGCTTTTTGATTTTTTGTAAATTTTATTAATTTTATTTTATTAATTTAATATTATTAAATATATAATTTTCGATTCTTCATAAATCTTTACTTTTTTTTTAAGTGTCAATTTTGAAAATATTTATTAATATTTTTGTTAATTAATATTGATATTTTGAAAATTTTTTTTTGGTTAATATATCTTTTCATTATGACAATCGTGATAATGATAATGCTGTTGATAACGATGGTCATGGTCAGATAATGATTGAAATAATTAAGATGATGATAATAATATTACCTTCCTTCGTCCTCTTTTTTATTTTATTTTTTGATGGTTTCTATTTGCAGTTAAAATAATAAAAATTGTAGAAGAAATATTGATCATGCAAATATTTAATTAAAACGTTTCATAATTTTTTCATTTTTTTTCACATCAACTGATTTAAACTGATATGATAAGCA